CCAGTGCACACCAGGATATCCTCTGCCTTCAGACACCCCGCTGCACTGATCTTAATCCTAAAAAAAACATGAGCTTTCTATGTAATAAAGTTAAGAAGGTTTAAAGCTCCTGCTTGATGCCTTCTGGGCCAGCGAAGTGAACGCTCACTCTCTCCTCTCGCCCACAGCAGTGTACCGACGGCTACGAGTTCGATCCCGTGCGACAGCAGTGCAAAGGTGAGTCACAGAGCCGACAGGCTGAGTGCTGCTGCTGCTTCTGGTGTCTCTCTCACACTCGGACTGCAGCTGGGTACTGTGTTTCTTTTAAAGGGGAACTGCAGTCCCGATTTCTCAGACCAGTTATTAAATCTCGGTAACAAAATGATTTCATTGACGGTATCAGAAATCGTTTACACGTTTTGAATTCAGCACAAGATAGTGAACTTTGTGAAAGTACTGTATTTCGCCATGCTGTCGCACCACAGGTGAGTCTCACCACAGGTGAGAGCAAGAGTTTGCGAGAATTATGATGTGAGGCGGCCCTTCCTGCTCACTAGTCCCTGTAATGACTGATGTACTGTGGTGTAGAGCGAATAAGTATAGGTTGTGCAGCAGATATTTCACCACATAAATGTTCCAATGTGATCTGCATGCAGAGTTAACAAGTAAGTAGTATTTGTCTGCAAAACCGTCTCGAAGTCGAGAGCAGTATTTCTATTGGATTAAAAGAGATGGATTCACAAGCCTGCCTGTTTACAATGTCATAGGGCTGCTTCACCTCATCAGAAGTTTTATTGCCTCATTGTGAATCGCAGAACATAGTGCTTCGCATACCTGGAAACGTCCTCTATATTGTGATGTAAATTGGACGTTTTACATGCTACTGTGTATTTTACTTTCACTTCAGTTTAATATGCACTCATCCGTGCTGATTCTTTCTAACCCCGGAAAATAAAAATAGGGTTGCAGTTCCCCTTTAAGGTTGACAAAAAGAAACTGTCCAGCACTTACAGTACTGGTGTGATTAGACAGAGGGGTTGAGAAAAGGGGTGTGTGGGGTACCCTAGTCAGAGCCCCGTGTTCAGAGCGCTGAGGAGGTTGTCTTCTCTCCTGACCTCGTGGTTCTGAACTCCTTTAGGAGATGCAGTTCAGGTAAACAGTGATAATACAAACTCTGGGAAGGGCTTGTTGAATTTGAATTCTGCTCATTTCCCTCTGCGGTCCACGTACGCCCAGGTAGGTTTGTGATCACGGGTTTGCTTTAGTGCAGCATGGTTTCACACACTTCCTGTCCGTCCAGACAGCAAACAATATCGTCGATCCTCACCTCTTTCGGGACAGCCCATCACTATCGGTCTGCTAGCATCACGAAATAAGTTCACCTCCCAGTTCGGCTCTCTGGCTAGTAGTCTGGCTCTTCGCTGTCAGAATGGGCTGTCTGGGCTCCTGAGTGGTGCCGCCAGGGTTCGAGCGCAGGCTGGGGCCCAGGCCCTGCTGCCCTGTCTGGGCTGTGTCATTAGCTGACTGGAGATGCACTATGGGCCCGGGACCACTGTGGCATCCTGACGTCAGTGGGTGGCACATGGCTGACCAGTCAGTCCTAACTGTGCCCTGAGCATGCTGGGAATCGCGTGGGGGCGGAGGCTGTGACAGGTGTACGCGCTGGAGGACAGCAAGAAAGGTCCACACCACCCACCCCATGCTGGACTGAGAGTCTAAATAAAACAAGCTGATGAATTACCGCCAATTCCAGATTATGGCAAGGGAAATATCGGGCCTTGCAAAATGCGAAAACGGCTGAGTTTGGCTGTATTTCAGAACGGCTTGGTTTTTAAACCAAGCCCTAAGCCTGAGTGTTTAGTGACACGGCGTCCATCAGCGCCTGGGATCGATCCTCCCTGCTCTCTCAGGACCAGCCTGAGGTCTGTCCTCGGTGCTCAATTTGTTATCTTCCTCACAAGCTGCAAGGGACAGTCCTAGAGTAGCTCCAGAATTCAGCTGTTAGTCCTTCTTCAGATGGTGCCCTTGGAAAGTCTAGACACTTGTGAGAGAGCACTTGCCAGGTCTGAATGACCCCTCGTACACCCCGAGAAGGCGATGTCCGCAGACCGACCGGGCGCCTGTAACCCTCCTCCCCCTGCCCTGTTGCAGACATCGATGAGTGCTCCACGGTGTCGGACGCCTGCAAGGGGGGGATGAAGTGTGTGAACCACTACGGGGGCTACCTGTGCCTCCCCAAGACCGCGCAGATCTTCACCGAGCCCCCGCCGCCCGCGCCGACCCCTCACCGGGAGGTCCTGCACAGACACATGCGCTGCGCCCCCGGCTTCGCCCCGGACGAGCAGAACTACTGCAGAGGTGAGGCCTTCACGCCCGTGGGCAGCGGGGCGCGTCACGGCTGCCGCGACGCCTGGGGCGTGGGCGCCCCGCTAAACACGCCCCAGCACGCCCGAGCAGCAGGCCGCATGCTGGCGGGAATCGCAGAGCCACCATCCCATCTTCCAGTCTAGAGTCTGAGCCCAGGGACAGTCGCACACAAGTGATGGCCAGTCATTGGTATCTAGTAGCCAATTGATCCACCGATGTCACCCAGCTGGTGTTGTACTTGGTTCAAAAACATTTCATTTTTCAAAAACTGCAACTTGTTTTTTTTTCAACCAGTGTTGATTGTTCTTTTCGGACCACTGTAGAAATGGCTTCGTACATCAGCGCAGGGAGTCATGTGAATGACTTGTTCTTGAACACATTTATACAATCAAGGACACGCATTCTTAGCCTGCATTCGTTTCTGGCTTCTGTGTGGCGAGCTGTGCTTTAGAGTTCCTGATTTCTCCCTATTCTAGCTGAGCCCATCCTGGTATCTGCTACACAGTACAACAGCCTGGGACTCCTCTGACACACAGATGGCGTAGATAATGTCACCTTCCCGTTGGAATGAGAAGTTTCATCGAGTCAGTTTGAAACACTGTCGCGATTGGCCTGCGATTGCATGAAGGGAAACTCTTCTGTTCCTGGATGGGTGCGGACCTACAGGTTCCTACAGCTTCTAGGCTCAAGTCACGAGTGCTGTAACTGGTGGCTGATGTTTAAGGTTTGGGAGATTGTTTAATGTCAGTGTTTCTCCTCCCTGTTTTTTGGTCCGTCTTAAAAAGAAAGTGAGAGTGGGGCCCCAGGTTACCTGCTCTTGAGTGTGAAGAAGCGTGTGGTTTAATCTTTTCACAGAGGATTTCTGAAGGAAAGCTCTATGTCCTTTAGCCAAGTCATGAAAGCTGTCCACGGTAGTGGTTTTCAGAACTATGGAATGTGAATTGTAAAGCTAGTTCATGAATTTTGCTGCATTCATGAGATGGTCAGTGTTTCTTTCCGTCCTGCTGTAAAGAAACGTTGCACTGCATGAAAGGAAAGAAAAACACCACACTGCCCTCAAAGCTCACCAGGTCTCAGCCACCCTCCAGTCTCCCTAAAGCACATGATGTGTTAACTGTGTCGTTACCCCATGGGCCTGAGACACAGTTAGCAGACTGGCAAGGCCATTCTAAGGTCCAGAGGAGAGCTGAGTTGGGATTAGAGAGCTTGGGAGCTCCTGGCAACCTATCTTAATTCTCTCTCCTCTGCGCGTGCTGGACAGGAAAGGTAACAGCTCGGCAGTTTTAATGGCGAGCCTGAGCCAGGGGGTAGTGTAAATCCAGGAGCTGGTAACAGGTGTGTCCTGCCCACACAGTACAGTATTCTGAGAGTGGCCTGTCACATCACAGTGAGTCTGAGGTGGTGCTGCCGGTCTGCCGGGTCCCCTGAGTCAGAAGATCAGCCTTGTGGCCACATGGCTCGGAGGCTGTGTTGGGTTGAGATTTGTCAGAGAGGACAGAGGTCCAGGATCAAACAGCAGGATGGGCTACATCACTGCAACTTTTACCACTCGGAGACAGAGACTGTTCCCCACTCTTCCAGTCACTGGGGTGGTACTGCAGTGCAGGCTGTGTCTCTCTCTGGCTCCTGCCTCTGAGCCCGCGTGAGGGGAGAGCCCACAGGGACGGACAGACAGCAGCTTCAAGGACAGGACCACCGCACGCTGTGGGAGCTGGACCTGAAAGTGAGTGTTGTGGAACTTTAAACTCAGAAATTCAACATCTTCAGCATGTCAACATGGCTAAAAAACCCAGCCACCGATTTCAATAGCTGCAGGGTTGTGTGGTGATGTGTTACACTGTTTCTCAGAGGTCTGCTGCTTCGATCACATAGTTCTGAAGCTGTTGTCCCATCTGTGAGATGGCAAGGGACCAAACATGCCACGGGCCTGACCTGATCATGTTGTTCTGCAGCATTTAGTCTTTCGGGCTCTTGGAGCCCAAGGCCCCACTCTGAGGAGCATAAATCATCAGAAATGCATGACCGCTGAGGTACTTGCTCTCTGTGTTTGTAGTAAATATGGAGAAGCATCGTATTTGTGTTGAACCCTGGTGGAGCGTGGCCTTGGTGTGAATGGGTGGTGCCTTCTTTGGCTACCCTGGTGGCTTGCCCTCCTCGGAGAGGGTGAAAAGGGGGGTCCCCCAGGGCCAAACATCCTTCATCTTGATGACGCGTGAGGCAGTTTTGTGGGGAGTGCACCATCGCAGGAGGCTTGTGTAATCTCCCCAGCTGAGGTCACTGGACTCCGACCAGCATCCACCCTGTCCCGTGACTCCTTCTTTATTCCTGAAGCCAGCGCAGATTAGATGATCCCTTTCTCTCAACGGTTACACAACAAGGTCTTGTACAAGGGGCGGGGGGGCTCAGTTATGAGTCACCTTCAGAGCGATCAGTTCTAGCAGCTGCTTTTCCTGGTCGTTTCTGTTCTTGGACATGAGCATCTGTGTTTCGTACCTAGTTTTCTCCTGCCCTTGAGCTCTGCAGCTCATGTCCACCTGAGATCTTGGCTGATCTCGTTCGACATTAGAAATGGATTAATGAATTGGTTTCGCAAAGGGATGTTGGCTGTGGACCAGCTAAAAAGCCCTTTAAAATTGACAGTCAGGAAGAAGAACTGACCGATTGTCAAGCAGAAGGCAGCGCTTCGATAAGAAGGCCAACTGAACGTAATGAGAAAATGCTGCTGAATTGGGGAAGGGACGCATGTTTATGAAATCATTACATTTACTATCAGTAAATATTAAATAGGCAGGCCAAGGTTGTGCTGCTGTTTACATGCTGTGTCTAGGTTCCGCTTGGAAATGAAATATTAAGGCTTTTAAATTCGCCACTTTAGTGAAGCAAATCAATACATTCAACCAATTCCAGTATTTCTTGTTGGCAAGTGAAGACTTAAGATCTCAATGTTATTTCAGGTGTTAGAAGAGAATAAATGAGCTGGGGAACCCCTGTTTTGTTATGAAAGTTCTTCCTGCTGAGCACTAAGGAAAGCACAGGAGACGCCAGACAGTGGCTGAAGTGCTCTTTCCTCCGCCTTAGAAATGTTGCCCGAGTCCAGCCTTCCTCATCTGATTGAGCTGAAGGAATCAGGGGACTGTTGCAGGACTCTGTCTCCCTTCAGATGTCTCAGTCCAAGTCACGCTTCTGTAGCACGAAGTGTTGACCATGCAGCTCACAGTCCACATTCCCCTGCTGCAGGAAATCTGCGCGGCTCCTCTGTCAGATCTGTTGCCACGAGCAGGACTGCAGAGGCTCTCCGGTGACACCTGCTAGCCTGCCAGTCTGCCCAGAGATTCCCGGAGGTTTTTTTTCTTCCTAATGACCTGTCGGGGGGGGGGGGGGGGTTATTTCCTCTCCTGAGTGTGGATATATCAGGCCAGCAGCCAGTTGAATAAGCGCTCGTGGTTCTGCAGCTTTCTGAGGTCCTTATTTGCTTTAGAAATGTTCCTGTTGATGTACAAAAATCCTGGCCCCTCTTGTGATTTTGGACTGCGAACACCCTACACTTTTAGATGTTGTCAATGTTAAAGTATACACTTCTGAATAAAATCTTTGTCAATAACAGTGCAGTAAATTAAATGCTGTGCAACTATGCAACATTACTAAGTATAGGTGGGTAGCTGTGTCAGCATGCGTAGGCTGCAAAGGAACAAGTAATAGGTTTATTCCACAGTTTAGAAAGCAGTCTAGGTCAGCACATTTTGTATTTCTGTCTGTACGTCTACATAGGAATTCTGCAACGTCTGATTACAATTTGTTTTGAATACACACTCTATGAATGAGTATATTTACAGTAGGTTTTTGGGCTGTGGTATTTCACTACATTATTTGTGTGTAAAATGTAGTGCAGTAGTTTTCTCCGGGAAGCTCTGTCTGTTGGCCCGTTTAGTAGCGGCTGACAAATCCAGAACACTGTGCTGAAGGCAGCTTGTGCTGCTCTCGTTCCTGTCCTTTGATGCCAAGTTACACTGACTCAGGCTGCTTCCAGTAAGATATTTTTGGCCAGTGTGCAGTTTCCTCTGAAAACATGAACATTAAATAATGCTTTGAAAAGTTCTAGAGAGCTGTTACAAGGGTTCTCTCTGCACTCTGGTGCTTTCATTGAAAAAACCTCCAGCTTTCCAGTGACATAGATCCACTTTCTTTTCACTGGATTTCTGTCTTCTTTTGTCATTGTTGTGTGATTATTCAAGGGCTTCTCAGTAATGGCCGAAGACCCATTTCTTAGATATCCTGTAATTAAGGCAGTTTTTTCTGTTTCCCATTTCTTTCACACTGATAGTTGACTAGGATATTAATACAAGTTAAATTCACGTGAGAAATGTGCAATAAATCTATGAATTATGAGACTTATTCTAACCTACGTAACTAGCATTAAATGAGTCCTACTTTTGAGTTTCCACCAGAATACAGAGGTCTTCTGAGAAGGTTTCAACATTTCAGTGATTTTAATCAGGTGTGTCAGGCGCTGTACTTTGTTTCATTGCATAAATGTTTCAGTAACGTTGCTTTCCTGAAATATTGCAGTCTCGTCCGCACGCAATGTACAATTGTGAAGCAAAAGATGTGAGTTAAGTAATTTCTTTTCTCAGGTTTCTTTAAGGATGGGACTTTTGTTGATATGAAGCCCAGAAGTCGAGGGTTCTGCTCAGTTTTCTTGATGTTGTGGGTGCTGCTGTGACAGACCCGTTTGGACCCACTCCTAACTAGCAGAAACATCAGACAAAGGGGAACAGCAGTTAAACAGGACACCCAAAAAAATAACCTCTAAAACTTCAAAAACACGGAGACAGCTTGATTTTTCATGAGTCTCCTAGCTCGTGTGCCTGTTGAAGTCTGCCTTTGTTGTGGCCTCATGGCTACCAGCGATAGGACACCAGCAGCCTATTACAGTTTGCTTAAGTCATTAGTTAGTAAAACATGCAGCATGACCCACTCTTTAATTGCTTGCAGATGTTTGCCTTTTCTTTCCAGTCCAGCAGCTTGACGCTCCCTGGGGGATGTGATTTCGTGTTTTTGAAATAGTATTTTATTACCCAATGTTGCGTTTAGAAACTTCGGTTCAAAACAGAACAGCACTCAGAGGACCCTTCCATGCTGACATCATGTTGGAGGCTTCTGTGTTGATATAGATGTAAATTCCCCTTGGAGTCATGACATGACACTCTAACCGCATTTATTATGCTCTGTTTGACTGGATTAAAGACTGCCTGTGCATGACTCACATTTACAGCTGTCACTGGCTGTATTACCTCCTCATGTTGTGTTTAGATAAGTCGTTTTCTTCCTGTTTTTATTCTCCAGTTTTATAGAGTTCTTCTGCTGTGTGTGCAGCAGTGAAGTCCCAGTTCGAAGGTCTGAGAGGACAGCAGGGAAGTAGGACAGGAGTACAGGTACGGTATTAGGAATGACGGGGGATGTGCCATCTGAGTAGTGTGAAACTCCCATCACCTCTTGGCCAGTTTCTCCTGGAAAATGTAGAGCTTGTGATCCAGCATTTAAAATTTATCTGTCAGAGAGCAGTGATGCTGCCTCCTTTTCCTTTCATAACACTTCAGGCTAAACCATCCCTTCATCCCTGCATCCCTTCGTACTCTGTCCTGCCGGATGCTGGCACACATGTCTCCAAACTGGTTTTGTTTGCACTGCAGGGCTGTGTTCCACCACGAAACACGATGGAACTGGAGACAGCCCAGAATTCGAAGCCCTCCTTTACCCTACTGCTGCATAAGAGCTGTTGTGCTTTCCTGATACCTTTAACCCGAACCAGTTAAATATCACACAGCGATGTGTATTATGTCTAAAACAGTATATCTTTCGAGATCTGGTCTTCAGACCGTAACATGCAGTGCTCAGCCGACTCTCCGGTAATCCTCGTCCTGGTCAACATCAGAGATTAATTTTTCAAGTCAAGACGTGTGCATCACTGAGATAAATAGTTCACACAACAATAGATGTTTATCTTCTCACGCAATGCATCCTGTTCCTCACAGCTGTTCCCTGTTGCTGGGCGCACAGCTTGACTGCCAACCTGTTTTTCATATATTTATTGTGATAAAGATGAAAGATTCAGATCACATTTCAGCAGATTGTTTTGCTGTCCAAGAACCTTCACAAGGACAGTATAGTGCTGTCCCTGCAACTCATCGTCCCTCACAGCATTTTAAAGACATTGTTAGAGGACAGGGGAGCAGTTTCCTTAATCAAGATTAATTCATTTACACAGAAATGCACAATCCTGGCACTGTGTGGTTCTGCGCTGTTCTGCTGGAAACTGGATTCTTCCTGATTGCAGTAATGGAAAAACAGTTGGAACCAGGACTTTATTTAAGTATCTCTGAGCTGCAAGGCTGTCGTCAGGCTTTCTTGTGTTAAAGGAGACACTTCTCCACGTCATCGCCATCCTTGGCTCCATCAGTTGGCTTGGACAACACATCAGTCAGTGTTACACTCACCGCAATTCCTTCTGTCAGGCTCGTCAGGGGGGAATCTGCCTCATCACTGAATGAAACACCACCACTCTTCTTGGATGCTGGATGTTCTCTGGTCACAGTCGAGTTTGTCTCTTGACTGTAATTCCCCAAATGGCCCCAGAGCACACAGATCATTTTCATTTTCTTGCAGACAGAGAGCTACAGCCGTTTGGCTAATGAGCGGGTTATTTCTTCCTGGAGCCTCTCGTGTCTGAGAAGATGAATCAGTTGGATGTGATGGACTGGTTTGGTGTCTGTCTTCCAGGACATGGCCTGTGTCTCACAGGGCTGGTTTCCTGGTTTCTCTGCCCTGGTCTGCTGCTTGTTGCTGCTCATTCTCACTGCAGCTTCTCAAGATCATGCCAGTAGCAACCTGGTGATCTTGGTTACTCATATCTTAAACTGTTCCTATGTTTAATTAAAACTCTGTACATATTCTTATTCAGTCCACTTTGACAAGTCTCAAGTCTCAAATGAAGTGATTCAGTATCGAACACTCATGACTTGAGCTCAGTATTTTATTATCCCAAAGAACTCTATTTACACAAACATCATAGATGTACCCAATGAGCAACAGATGTAAAACATAAACTTCTACAAGCACAAGAGTGTTCAGCCTTAGTTATTTAGTTATAATAAGGTACTGCAATGTACTAAAACACAACCATACGTGTGTATCTTTATAGTGTTTATATTCCCCTTCTCATTCATCCTGAAGAAGGTTTTGTTTCATTTGGAGTCTATTAGTTTTTCTGCTGCATTTGTGCTTCAATGGGCTTTATTTAGTGCTTAGTTTGCATAAGGGCTAGACATTGACTCAGTCTTCATAAATTCATTATTGCAGAAACCTCATGGTATCAAATACTGCTTACGCGACAGCGCGCTCCTCTGAGAAATCTGGTTCTTATATTCTGCCAGGCAAGGGCGATGGCAGTGCTGAGTACCAAGAGCCAGAGGGGAGGCACACTGTGTGCAGAGATCCGCTGTGTCTCTCAGCCCACACCACATGCAACTTCACAGCCCCATGAAATCAT